GGGCCGGGCGGGCCGAGCGGGCGGACAGCGCGGGCCGCGGGCCTCGGCCCCGCCGTTGCCGCGGCGACCGCGCCGCCGTCTCCATGGCAACCGTCGGTGCTCGATGACGTTTCCCCATTCCCTTTGCTGTAAACGAGGCGGTGGCCACGCCCCCGTTTGGCGATAGGTCTTTTCCCCGTCGCGCGGCGATGACGCCTCCTTAGCAACGAGTCGCGTTGCTAGGGGCGGCCATGGCGGAGGCGGACGCGGAGGACGCGGCCCGGCCGTGGCCGCCGCCCGCGGGCGCCTACGCGGAGGAGCGGGGGCTCTTCCAGCTCCTGCAGGTGAACGGGGAGCCCCCGCCAGCCCCTCCGCGGCGCGGGGAGACCGGGCGGGGCCGGGGGAGGCGAGGAGGGGCAGCGGGGCGGGATCCTGGGCACGGTGATGCGCGGGTGCCGGTGTCCGAGACGCAGCCGTGCGCTCTCCCAATTAATAATTTTAATTGCCATTTACTGCTGCTCTTAAGTGTAATTTGGTCTGCGGAGGAAAATTGGCGTCCCGTGGAAGAAAGGAGTCGGTGGAAGGCGAGGCAGGACGGGGGGAGGAGGAGGAAGGGGGACAGTGACAAACGGGAGCGCGGTGAAGGTTCTGCGTGGCTGAGCCGGGGCTGTCACCGCCTGCTGCTCGTCCCCCGGTAAAGCCCTTCCCCCTGCCTGCCTGCCTGTTGTGCCTCTTCGCCGAGGTGTCAGAAATAAAGCGAGAGAAGCTCACCTGTGCCGTCGTTGTGATTTCGGTACCCGGCCGGGCTGGTTCCCCCGCTGTCGTGATGGGTGCGGTTTGTCTGAAGTTCGGGGGAAGCCCTCGTGTGGTGCGTGGGGAGGTTTGTGTCAGTCAATAAACATCCTGGTGCTGTTCTCATAGCAGAACTTGCTGGAGAGCCTTCCCCTGTTGCTCTTAACTCTGCAAAAATACCGGTTTTACTTGCTCAGAGCTCACTGAAATGCACACAAATGTTTATTTCCTTTCCTGTTTTTTTGTTTTGCTATCATTTTTTTCTCTGTTTATTATGACTAGTGCAGCATAGCATTTGTGGTGGGTTTTTTTTTTGGTTTTTTTTGGTTTTTTTTCTAATGAAACATTGTGTTTTGGAAGCCACGAGGCATTGAATGCAGCTGCAGGGACTCACATTACATAAAATGTTTGTGGGATTTACTCAGGGTGGTATTTTTGTGGTTTAGTTGTGTTGGAGCAGAATAATGACACAAACACAGCTTGAAATTGCTGTGCTAAAACATTTACAAAACACAAAATGTAAAAACTACGTGAAACCCAAAATATGAATCTCCCCCAGAGATTAACAGATCAACTGATGGGAAATTAAACTGAGTTTAGCAGAATTGGATAAATACAAGGGTTTGGGCAAGAAACAGTGCCAGTGTCAATCACTGTCAGCCTGAACATTTTTGAATTATAATAAACCCAGATTTTTGTTAGATTTGTTATTTATAAATGTGCTGGTAAGCAAAATCCAGATTGCTTATATAAATGTTGCTGGAAAGTAATAATTTTAAACTGAATTTTCAATAAAAATACAAATTTAATCTTTTATGCTCTGTGCTACCCAGACCTTGATGCATCAGAACTTGCACGATCACCAGTTTATAAACAAAATTGAGTGTTTTAATTATTCTAATTAAGTGGATGAAGTAGAAAAGGAAAATAGGCCACTCTAATCAGAGACAATCCGTTGGTGAGGATATAAAATTTTATGGACTAGACGGACTTTATGGAATTTAGTTGCAAATATAAAAGTGTTATGACTGCTCTTTAGAAATGTCTCTTCCAGCACGAGCATTTCAGCAGCTTGTCTAAATTAGAGCATTAGTTCTGTTTGATGTTTAGTTTTAATTACAGGACTTGTGTCTGGGCTGAAATGTCTAGCTAGGAAATGTATGGATTTCTCAGATTTTTTCTTTTTTCTGCCTGTGAAGCCCAAATCCTCCCTGAAACCTCTGCAAGCTCCCCACTGTTACAGATGGGAGCTGAAACAAGGCTCTGTATAACCTCAGGGGTTCAACATGAAAACGGGCTCCAAAACAGAATTCAAGGCAAGGCTTTAAGCCTTTTTTTGCTTTTTTCTCCCCCATTCTCCCCACTCCTTTTCGTGCAGGAGCCAGGGCTGGTACAGCTGTGAAAGGTGCCATTTCTGTGGGTTACGTTTTCCACAGCTCTTGTCCTTTCTGCACTCCTCTGGGCTAGTCAGAGACTTGTGGCATGTGCCAGAGAAGGCTCATCTTACCCTGCAGAGGCACTAATTCAAGTTAACTCTGGTTTTCAAACTCCTTGTATGGTTTTTATGTCAGTGCTGCCTCAACCATTTTCGACCCCAGGCTGCTCGAGCCAAACCTTTCTGGTGTCTGTGTGTACCATAAATAAGCCAACACAAATAGGCTGGAGGTTTTTTACTGGCAATTTTCTGACCATCATCAGTTGTTCAGCATCTAAAATAGATTCTGAAGTCTCAGTTTTGTCAGTGAAAGAAAATAAATAAGCATTTATAAGCTGTTCAGGATCCTCATTGTAACATTGCTGTAAAAATGCAAGATATCACGACTGCAGAGCCGCGTTAAATTTTCCTCTGACTTTGTCCTATTTATTTCCAGAACATGCTTGAAGAGCTATTAATTCATAAGCCAGATGATCCCATTGAGTTCATGATAAACCACTTAAAGCAAAACAATGATGATGGTAAGTGGGAATGGAGACACCAGAAGTAGTTCAGTTCCTGATTTGTAAACAGCTGTTGGGAGCTGCGCTGCCGTTGGCAGGTGATGGATCAAACTTTTCAGGCTGAGTCTTGGGGAGGGGGGAAACAAAAAAAAAAATGGTGAGCATTTTGGAATAGTTACAGGCAAGATGCTTTTAATTTCTTTTTTTTAGTGGGTAATCTAATAAGAAATGCACTTTAACAGTTATAACAATGAAACCCTCTAAGGGAATAACAAAGAGTTCTGGTGTATCAATTATTAATGCCTTCTGTGCCCCATCTGATATTTCCTGTTGTCTTTAAGCTCGCTAATTACTCCTTTTGTCAGGTGTAAATTTGGGTTCCTATTCTACCTGGGCTGGCAGATTCTCTGCTTTTTGATTAGTTTGTTACTCGCTGCTGTTAATGAGTTCCTCAGCTGAAGGAGCAGTGAGTGTGTCTGCTCCTCTGTGGAACAAAACCTGGTAAATTGAATGTGGAGTCTGTATTCTGCACAATAAAAGCATGTACCCTCAATCAAATGACTTGATTTACAAACTGTTCACCCTTAGGCAGATTATATTTGGGTATGCACAAGTGAACTGTAATTTTTGTTCTGCGTGAGCTGTCAGGGAGAGCTGGTGTCATGGAGCTTTGATGTTTCTTTAAAACCAGAGTAAACCATTATGAAAGTTCTGCTGCAGCATCAATGAAATCATTATCACTGGAGGTGCTGTGAGCTCTTAGTGGTGCTGATCAGATGGATGGTGATTGAAATGCTGCTAAATACGTTAAAGAAAAAAAAAATCAAATCCTGCAAATTGTGCCCAGCCTTTTCTGGTGAGGCAGAGTGAATAATCAATCTGGTTTGTAAACCCATGGAAAATATGTGGAAGAATTCAGAATCAGCAGTTTGATAGAATGCTGATAAAATTTCTTCACATTGGGCTAACATTTGTCCTGAAGCCCCACAGTATTATTTTAACAGAATTAGGCAGGTTTCCATCTCATGACTTCAGTACTTAGAGGCTAAAGACAGAATTATAGCAGTTGTTTGTCAAGGGGAAAATGCTGTCTGCTTTTGGTCTGGAAAACCCTGTTAAGGAAGGAGAGGAACTCCAATTAAAATTAAAGCCTAAATGTTGTTTTAAGAATAAATTATATGGAAAATACTGTAACAGAAATGTGTAGCAGAGTTGATTTTACTTTTTGATCATGGTGGAAGGTGCTGACTATTTAGAAGGAAAAAAAACCTTATTAGAGCCATCAGTAAAGTGATGAATTTTCATGATCTTGCCTTGCCTAGACAGTTTTAGCCCTAGAGAAAATTTCAAACAGAGATGTGTGGAAAAGAAGCATTGCATCTATCCCAGGTGTGAAGTTAGAAAACCTTTTTAATTAATAATAGGATCCAAAGTACTTTTAAAAATATAAACAAGTCTAATGGTGATTATAGCTTACAACTGCCTTGAAAATCTTGTAGGTCAAATGTGTGGCAAAGTGTTTGTGCTTAGGGCTCTGTGCTATTGTTCTTTCATGTGTTCCTTCAAAAACCTTCAAGGGCCACGTAAAGACTGATCATTTTCATATTCAGAAATGCAAGTTTTTTACATGGTATCTTGGTTTGTGCTAATGAAAAAGGCTTTCAGTGTCTGAGTGGTATTTCTGTGAGCTCCTGCTTTGCACTCAAACCTCTGAAGGAATGTAAAAAAGTTCTGCAAGAATGTTCAGTATGTACCCTGTGCTTCTCTTCTTTGACAAAGGGTTTCTCTTACAAGCTAAGCAAATTTGGTGTATTAATATTAATCATAGAATATTTTGGATTTAAATGGAACTCTGTGAGTCCAGCTGTTGTTTTGTGTTTTTCCAGGATTCAAATAGGAACCCATCTTTAGGAATAGGAACCCAAATTTACACCTGACAAAAGGAGTAATTTGTTGTTGCTGAAATTGTTGTTGAATGTTAGAACTTGCTTTACATGGACGAGTAAATCCTGTAACATCTCATTGAGATGAATACAGTATTAAATATTATTTGTTACCGAAGAAAAAGGCATTTCCCAGAATTTCCTGCCTTCGTGCTGCTGCTTTGAGCTGCAGTATTAAATAGTGACTATTTGTTGCTCGGAGGGGTTAAACATTACACCCAGTGGTGTCCTGGTAGTGCCCCTGTGTCATATGTTTGGGGACAAGGCTTTAGAGGAGTCCTACAAGTGTGCAAATGAGTAAATCAGTGAATTACACTGCCCCATCTGCTGCCAGCCACTAAGCAGAGAGCAAACCAGATTTAGTACAAAGTGAGCATTTACAGTAGCCCTGGGCAATATTAAAGCATGAGATGGTGTATATAATGGTATGTTTCGTTTTTTATCAAACGTTTGTCCAAGAAAGCTGTGTATTAAAGCTTCAATACCTAAGGGCTTTCTTGTGAATTTTAAATCATGCTCCTAGTTAAACCTCAAAAGGATCTGTGGATGGAAAGGTTTTTTGATTTTCTTTGAAGTGGTTTGAAGAAGTTGATTAGTGTTGGCACCCAAGCACTCTTTTATGACGCTGTTTATAAATAATTCCTAAGTACCGGGCTGGAGTTTCAAGGTGTTAGATTTTAAAAAAACCCTAGGATTTAATCACATTACATTTGAAAGAAATTAGGTGATAAAAACAGCTGATGTATCCTTTTAAAGTATTTTTCTACATTGTGTACTAGTTCTGTTGCACTTGCAAGAACCAATAAGGGGGGAGTTGTTCTTAAACCTTCCAAGTCAGATAACTTTGTAAAGATGAATCTGTAATTTGGGTTTCATGTATGTTTAAAAATTGCACCTGCCCAATAACTGTTAACTGCATGGAAGGCCTGATGAAAATACATTTCAAATCCTTGCCTGTCTGTTCCCATCAGACACGATCTCCCCTGGTTGTCGAGAGCTGAGGAGGTTTTTGGGTGAGCACATCCCCCCTCTGCTCTGACCCGTGTTACTCCCAGTAAATACTAACCAGTCCCTCCTGCACAGACTGTGATTTGGGGCTTTTTTCCTCCCTGTGGTGTAGGGGGAAAAACCATCAAAGCTGTTAATATAAAATGACAGTTCAAGGGATTGCAGCCCAAGGTGTATTTATGGAAAAAGTTCCAAATACTTTCCTAAGAGCAACTTCATTTTCTCCTGTTTGTCTTGCCTCTAATTCATTCCCAACCAAGCTCAGGGCAGTAATGCCTATTGTGTTGTGTGTGTGCACTGGATTAAGAATTCCTCAGAACTGGGATGCTTTTTTTGCACCTTGCCCTCTCAGGGAAAGGAGAGGGACTTGCAGCAGAGAAACACAAGAAACAGAAATGAGGAAAATTACTTTAAATGGTGGCTAGAAAAATTGAAGGCAGGTGTCAAAAAGCATAGTGAGGGAGTCCTTCATTCTGCAGTACCTAAATCTTCTGTGAGCCCTGAGACAACCTATTTAGGTGAAACTAAAAACTGAAATATTTTTTCATCACAAAATACGTTACTTTTGAATCAATGGTTCAGGAATAAAAGTAAAACTCAGGTAAGACAATGTTTGTACCTTATGGTTCACCCACTAAACTCTCCATGTGTTTAAACAGATTGAGATATACATATCTCATCTATCTCTCCAAGTGGCATGGTTAGAGTGTTAATCTCATTGACCATGGAGATTAAAGGAGGACCCAGCTGGCACTGAATTTCTGTTCCCCATTTTTTTCCCAGTGGAGCCCAATCCTGAAATTTCCACTGAGGCAGCTTTCCAGCTGAAATAATTGTTTCATGGTGGCTACATTGATATTATGCAATACAAGAGTGGGAAACTGGTGGAGATTTTTGCTGTTCTGCACCCTGACATTTGCATATCCTTGTTCCATAGCTCCAAGAATTTGTGTCCTTGGTCCACCTGCTTCTGGGAAAACTACAGTTGTGAGTACCTTACCCTCAGTGTTGTAGCACTTACTCCTCTCTTACTTCCTACTGAGCTCAGCATTTTGGATAATTTTATTCTGGGAAAAGAATTTTGAGATTTATCCAAGTGATAGATGAGCACAAGACGAATTTAAGGGTGACATTCCTGAGGGATACACCTGGGTGTTACACTGCAGATATCTGTTAAATAGATATTTTCAAGTGAGGTCTGTGAGAACTCACTCAGGTAATGAAACTGCTGGAATGCGACAGAATTCTGCCTGCCTTGTTTTCCCAGCCTTTTAGCAGGACTAATTAGCCTGGGGGAAGTAAGTTAATTACACATTTGTGGTGTTCTCTTGCTGTGAATTGCTCCATTTTCATGGTCAGTTGTCCCATGCCCACTGGCACCGTTAAATGCAAAAGTTGCATTTGAACCTCAGAAACGGCAGGTGATGCTGGTGAGGCCATGATAGGAAGAATGTTTCCTTCTTTAAATTCTGTGTTAAGGTACAGGTGATGAAAAAGTCGTTATTCAAAGCTGGATACTCTTTAACATCTTTATAAGAAACTACTTAAAGTTGCTTATATATGTCTGTGTACTTAAATGTATGGCTAGGAAAGCTCTGTCTTTCTGCAGCCTTCTGAAAAAAATTGCTTCATTTTCTTTCCAAATATTTCAACCTGTATTTTTTTTTCCTCCCCTCAGGCAATGTGGCTTTGTAAACATTTCAATGCCATACGTGTCTCTCAGGAGACTTTGTTATTCAAGGAAGTATTAATGCAGACAGAGGAAGCAAAGGCATATAAAGAAAGAAACCAGGTGTGTAAGAGAATATAATAACAGTTGTTCTCGTGTCACAGAACAGGAATTACGTGGCATTCCCATGATTTCCACTGCTGAGTTGAGCAGATGAGAGCAAAGACTCTGTTCTGTGTTGTACATTGGTGTGTCAGGACACAGAGCAGGGGCAGGAGAGGGAGACAATGCAAAGTAAAGGAGGTCTTGAAAGCACCAACCTTGGAACAAGCAGCAGAAGTGGGGAAAATCCAGGAATATGCACAATCCAGTCTGGAGAATGCTTCATTCTATTATTAAACACAGTGTCTTCTATCTGGGCATGTTTGATAATCTCGATAAAATAAGCATTAATCTCTGAGGTCTCCTTTGGTACAAAATGCTCTGGAAAATATGTACACAAAGAACTTTTTTTGATCTGACAGTGCTACTTAGTTGTGCATGCTTGATTTCTCTGTAGCATGACACAAATAACTTACTTGGTGCATTAACTCAAAAGGAGGATGACAATCCAGTCAGTTCCTGACAGCCCTGGAAGCTCTCAAGCTGAGGCAGAAGCAGCTGACTAAGAATTTTCCCCAATTCTGTGCTCCTAAGTTGCTCCAGTCAGATTTTTAAATCCATTCATCGTGGGCATCCTAATTGATGTTCAAAGAACATTTTTTACAGGATGTCATGACTCCCAGGATTAGTTGATCAGTAGTGTAATTAATTGCCTTATTGTTAAAAATTAGTGACAGATTGGAAAAACACATTGAAAGGTTAACTTGAATGCAGAGAAGCATCTGATTCCTGCCTTTTTGGCTGATTCCTTTCTCCAGTGTCAAGGCATTCCATGAGAAAGAGATTGGAAGAAGTCTGTTTTTTTGTGACTTTCTCTAACAAGTCCACTAGTTTGAGTTTGTTTTGTCCCTTATTACCCATTTTAATAAAAATTTAAGCAAATTTCTGTCTGTAGGAATTCTATACTCCTGCTAAATCCAATTTAGAATTGGAATTGGCCAACACATTTGTAATTTACTAAAATGGCAGACAGTGTGATACACAGATTAGGGCTTTTTCCTTAGAAAATTAGGCTAAAATAGGGTAGTGATTGTAAAATTGAATAAAATACTGGATTAGTGAATGAAGTTTGGAGATGCCTCAGGTAGCACACTTCAAGATCAGAGAGGAAAGAGTTCATTGAACTCCCTGAACTCACTGGCAAAAATGTTTGCATTTGGCTGGGATGATATGGAATTATTCTTACTGAGAATATGTACTTTGAAATCTTAGTTCTAATTATTAAAGATTGTTTTGATAGGTTCATAAATTTATACTTGGAGGGGGAGAATTTAAAACAAAAATTCCCTTTGGTTTAATTACTGTAATTATTAACATATTTCAGACTATACAGATGCACTTTCAAGGGTGTCCTTTTGGGCTTATTTGATTTGAAAAGATGGATGGTGTGGAAGATGAAAGTCAAAAATGTCAAGGCTAATCAGGTAGTGAGTGAGGAGGGCCTGCAGAGCAGAGGCTGCTGGTGGTTCAGCACTGTGCAGTTTGCCTTTGGATTTGATTTTTAGACCCTAGGAGGAGGTTTTCACTAAATAATTTTGTTCTTTTATATGAGTTTGTTTCTCTGAATGTAACACCTGGAATGAGGAGGGAGCTCCTGGATTCCTCTAGGTTGGGATGAATGTTCAGGAGCAGAACAAGAGGTTTTACATGAGTTTGGATATAACCAGGGCATTAAAAATTATAGTCCTGGCCAAAGCAATTTAATAAATGAAGAGGAAAAGCAGGAGCTAAGCCTGTGGTTTTTGAAGATTCACGTGTTTTACCTACTCATCTTCAGCCAAGCTTTCATCTCTTTTGTGTTAGCCCATTGAAGCATTTGGGTTTTCCTGGCACAGGAAGCCATGGAAGGCATTTTTAAAATCCATTATTGCTCTCTGAAGCTCCATTTTTCAAGTTGGACAAGCAATCATTCACCCACACATACCTGGCCACTTACTAATGAGCACAGCTCAGGTAGTGAATTTTAAATACTGAGTGTTCAAAGCAAAATGTGATCATTCTGCATGTAAAAATACTCCAAAAAGAAGTCAGGTATTTTTGAATATTCAGTAAATTGAAGAACCACAAGCTACCAATAAATATTCCATGAACAGAAAAAGAGGCTACATTTTTGGATAAATCATTGCAAATTATTCCCTCATCTCTAGTTATTATAATGTTAATAGGAAGCATCTTCAGGTTTTCCTATAGTGAAGTCTAATGATGAGCTATTGCATGTTTCACTTTTCCTGTTAACTGGATAAAATAAGAAGTTGAAACAACCGTGGTAATTGTGGTTCATGGGATGGGTGTGCTCTTAATGCTACACTAAATTGCAGTTAAGGTGTTGGCATAATACCTAATAACTTAAAACTGCTCCAGAGTTGTGTCATGTCCCTGTGCTTTTTAAAAAGAAATAAAATGGAAGAGAAAAATAAATCCAAGGCATCCTTGACTATGCATGGTCAGCATTCCAATCTATTCCAAGGTAAGCCGCTCTGAAGGAATAAAAAGAAACTGTTCCAGGTTTGTGTATCCAAAAAAGACCAGCCTTTCATGTTTATTTATCTGAACAAACTAAATCTAAACATTCATGATACTCAGGATCCTAAAGTAAATTTCTTCAAACTTGATTGCTGTTCTCTCCAAGGTGCCAATGTGGAGAAGCCAGAAATTTTTAGCTGAAGCTGTTTTCAGAGCAAATATATCCAAAACTTCCAAGAAAAATGTCTACTGAAAAAGCTGCCCTACAAAAAGTGTGGGAATTTTATGAAAGGGAAATGAAATAGAGCTCTGAGTAGACCAGGCATGGAAATTGAAGTATGGTGTTCCTGAAATAACATGGAATATTTAAAATTAATCATGAGTGGGTATGGTTTTTCAGCAAGTATGGAAATAGTGATTAAACCAGAAAAGTGGTCTGAACCTGACCAAAATCCCACAGAAGCTTTTCCTTTACCTGCTCTGAGTGTTGGGACAGCTCTGTGGGTAAGGTGTGCTTTGGCTGTTATCAAATATGTGTCACTGTCCATTGTTGCAGATTTCTGGGAAGTGCAATCCCATCTCCCAGGCTCACCATATATTTATGTGTTTATGAGAGATAAATTATAAATGGGCTGCCTGATATGTACCAGATATCCTGATTTCTAGTGGAATAATTAGGCATTCTGCAAGCAGCCTATTGAAAATGATTTTGTAGGCCACCGCTCGGTGGGGGGAAAACTGCCCAGGAAATGAGACTGGAATTGAGCCACGGAGAGCAGAAGGAGCTCAAACACTGAAATACCTGAATGTGTGTCCTTGGTTGTTTTTGTGCAGCAAACCCCTCTCCAAAGGCAGGAGTAAGAACAGCGCTGCGCGGAGAGAAGCGAGGATAAATTTGGTTTAAATTGGTTTGGCAGGGCTGAGCAGAGCAGCCCCCAGCAGCGTGCAGCCTGGTTTGACATGACACATGAAAGGAGCAGCCAGGCCCTGGCTGTCCCTGGGAGCAGCGTGGTGCCCCTTTGGAAGGTGACAGGTTCCAGCAGCGAGGGGCTGCAGGAGGCTCTGGCAAAGCACCCTCGGGACCTGCTGGCTCTCAGCAAACCCAGCAATTTCCTTCCCTCCTGCTCTGCTACCTGCTCCAGCGTTGGCTGATGTGAGGAGAAGGCACTGAGAGCTGGGGACAAAAGAGATAAACAAAAGCAAACCCTGCCTGCCTGGGCCACCTGGGCTCTGCTGTGTGTTCTGGAGCACTTTCTCCGTCCTGCTTCAAAGTGCCTTCTGCGGGACCATTTCCACCACTCCTTGTGAAATTGTTTCATCATCCAGTGAAGATGATTTTATGAAATCTTCCCACATCATCAGGCAGATAGTTTCATTGTATGAATTGAAGTTCAAAGGAGTTGCTGCAAAGAATATTTTTTCCAGATGCCATGAGTCCCAGGATTAGTTGATCATTAATGTAATTAATTGTCTTATTAAAAGACAATTGTCTAATTATTAACAGTTAGTGGCAATTAGATTGGAAAAATAAGTAGATTGGAAAAACATGTTGAAAGATTATCTTGAATACAGACAAGCATCTGATTCCTGCCCTATGTACCCCTCCCAGCCTATAGAAATACTCCTTTTTAGGTTTATACCCTTCAAAGTGGTTAGGAAAATGATATGAGAAACCACAGGATATGGAAGTAAAGGTAACAGAGAGTCAAGCTCACATTGTTAAGTGAAAGATAATTTATTTTAATTGGGAGGTAGAGGATCTGATTGCAGGTTGGGGTTTTTTTTTTGAGTATTCTTTTTTACCAATAATGACAGAATAAATAAGACAAGCCATTTATTGAAATGATTAATGGCTGTTATGAGCTGCATGGGCAGAAGTTTAGACTTTGAGTTAAACTGGCTAACCAAGTTCAGCATAGAATGAAAGCCTAAATTAACAAGCTAGTGGAGCAAATTCTTACTAGAAGGAAGGGAGAGTATTGCTGATTTCTTGTTAGGAAATCAAATTAAATGTTGAGGGGTGCTGATCTGTATAGGAACTTTGTTCTTCTGTCACACAGCAAATACCTTCTTACAAAACATCTCTAGAGATGGGTAAAGCAGCAGTCACAGAACTAAACAGCAATTTGAAAATATTGAAAATATTGGCAGATGCAGTTTCCATCCCATTTCACAGTCCTGAGTTTACTAAGTTCAACTGTAAAATATATTTTAAATAAACCTTTTGGATGATGAGAGTTACTTGAAGCTATGAAACAAACCTCCTGAAAATCAGGCTCTTTGTGATGTTTGCTCAGTGTCTGAGGTTCTGTTTGTGTCACTGAGAGCTGGCAGGTCCCTGATGAGAGCTGAGCCCTCTGTCACATGGAGCAGTCAGGGGTCAGACCCTTGTGGTTAAAAGGATGCTTTGTGGATGTGATGTTCTTCTGGGTCCCTTTGCAGGTCTGATGTCCAATGTGTGTGTCAGTGTGCACAACTTGGCACTGCTTCCATGTCAGTGTGCAAAACCCCCATGGATATTCATGCTCCGTGCTCAGCTTCCCTTTAACACTGATTTTTGTGCCCTTATTAACTCTTTGTCATTAACTCATGTTAATGACCCAGGACTCGCACAGAATTATTTATTTCTTTATTTCCAAGAAGACATCTCACTTCACCTTTAACCACAACGTGCCTGCATGGCAAAATTCCTTTTGAACTCAATTGTGAATATTCAGCCTTTTTTTTTGGTTTTTTTTTTTGGTTTTTTTTGTTCTTTCTTTAGAAAATTCCCAACGCGCTTTGGGCCAATCTGATCCAGGAACGTCTGTCAAACGTGGACTGCATCAAACAAGTAAGAATTGCTCCTCAGAGGGCTGCTGGATAAGCACTTACACAACTCGTGCCTGGTATTTAGCATTCCAAGTCCTGAGCAGAGCAGGGAATGGGGGCAAATCATCGGGGCTCCCGAGCTGGTTGCTTTCTTGAACATCAGCGGAGGGAGTTTGGAGCTTTATTAACAGGATAAAGGGGAGAATGAGAGTATGCATATGCTAATCTTCCAGCACGGAGATGATCAAAGGCTGAACAAGCAGAGCTTTGTTGATTGCCTGGGGCAACTGGCAGAGATGGAGTGGACAAAAAAGATAAACAGAAAATAGATAGAAATCAATATTGTTAAGGTTTTGGCTCTTCTTGAGGAAAGGGGAGGAAAAGAGTTTTAATGTTACTAATTTCAGTTTTATTTCTTTCTTGTTGTGTCTCTTTTTTCTTCCTCTCTTAGGAAACACTGCATTTGAATATATTGTCTTCTGGGTAATAATTAATATTTTCACTCTTAGCTTGAATAGGTTTAGTTGTGCTCAAATCTGTGGCATCCCATGTTTCTTGCTGTATGTTTCATCATCTGGGAGACTGAAACAATTTTTTTAGAACAAAAAAATAAAGGGATTAGCAGAAATCCTAAATAGCATCAACTTTTCTTCATAAAACACTGCAGACCTTACTCTATAATTGACCTATTAATGTTGAATTTGCAAGTAGAATTAAACTTTTGTATTGCTGTTCACTGTGCTTGAATTATATGGGTCTGTCTGGTTTTCCTTGAAGGTCTTTTTAGCTGAGCTATTTTACTTCATTTTAACTCACTATAGTTACTTGGCACTCCAGATTATCTATCTAGTAGCACTCAATGTTTTTTTTTTTTTTTTGTAATAAATGCACACAGGACCTAGGCCCTTCAGCTGGCAGGAGAACCTGCATAAAACCACATGTGGTATGCTGTCCTGTTCATTTGTGTGGTATTTTTAGTTCTTTTATAACAAGAGCTCTAAAACCTCTCAAAAATGCTTATTTTTCCAGATGGGTCTCTTTCCCTGATTAAAAGAACGTATGTTTTCAGCAGCTACTTTTCCCAGTGTTTGTTAAAGTGAGTTTTACTGTCAGTGTACAAGCAAAATCCATCGCTCTCCACAGGCTGCATCCACCTTATTTTCCATATTTTTTTCCCTGTGCTTTCTATGATTGTTGGCATGGCTTTCGTTCTCCTGTCAATAATGAGGGAAGGATCTCTCAGTGAGTTATTTTAAGTATTGGGTCATGTATGAGTAAGGTGACAAGGTGGTTAAAATGCCAACAGCTGCACAGAGTCCTGCCTGCATTTTATGTTCCTGTTGTTGTCACCAGCAGCACTGAATCAGTGCTGGGTGTCTTACAGAACCAGGGGGGAAAAAAACCTTTATGAAGCTTTCCTGACATTCAGCAAGAATGAAATGGATGTTATCAACCCAGCTGAGGTTTCAACTGGTTTTAGGAAAAACACATTATTTGTTTTTCAAAGGTGTGATGCTTATTAAAAACCTTTACATTAATAAATAGACACACACAAAGTGGCCACAAATTATTTTTTCCTTTGAAAGGGGATCTATGCATTTTAAGTGCAGTATTTTCTGTGTGTAACTCAAAGTAGAATTAATGCTGTAGGGTTTTTACATCACTGACCAGATTTATGCCATTTCTTTCAAAACATGAGTCAGCACGTTTTCACTGAAAATGTTCACAGATTAGGAGCAGCATGTTGGACCACAGTACCACCAGCTGTTTGTTTTATTTCTCCTTGTGGTGTCATTGCCTTGGCATTAATTGTGCAGCTTTCATCCCACTGACAGTAGGAATACAGGATTTTTTGTGCCGTTGTTTTGACACTCACAGGTTTATAGATGTCACTGGCATTCTCTAAGGAGAACATTTTTATTGATCAACAGCTCTGCTGAGGCCCTGTGTTATGTGTTCTTGTAACACAAACCTAGTCAGGACTGTGAGGGATCAGGTGGGGAGGTCTTGCAGCACTCACAGGAAACTTATTGCAGACATTATGTTAGAGCCTGGCACTTGTGAGGCTGATACAGAGAATTTTCATCTTGCAGGGTTAGCACAGCTTGGCTGCAGCCCCTCTGCCTGCTGGGGTTGTGGAGGGAATTCATGGAGCTGGAGAGAAATTGCTCAGGATGTGTTTGAGGGAGAGCTGAGCCACCTTCCTGGAGGGTCAGGATCTTTAGAAACCAAGCTTAGGCCAGTGAGTCACACAAAGAGAGGCAGAATGAGCTGAGATTGGTATTTTTTTGTGGCTGCTCTTGAAAGGGAAGGCAAAGAAAACAATGGTTCTGTTTGGTTTTACCTTGATTGGCTCTGTTTGATTTTATCTTGATTGGCTCTGTTGGGTTTTACCTCAATAGGTTCTGTTTGGTTTAACCTTGACTGGTTCTGTTTGGTTTTACCTTGTTAGCTGAAGTTAATAATGTTTTCCCTGTGAAACTCCATGCAAAGAAAGTGATGGTGCAAAGATTTATCCAGGGAGAGAATCTGCCCGTTCACCACATTTTCTGTTTTCTGAGAAGAATGGAACTTTTTAAAACATCTTTGCACCTCACTCCACTGACAGAACTCATGTGGGGCATAAGAGGTTCCTTTCAATGGGAAATTTGGCAAGGTTTGAGCACTTTCCATCATTCATACTGCTCATGTTGATGGGCTGCAAGAGCTGGGTTGTCAGTATGTCTGCTGTGCTCTGAAAATCTCCAGAATTTTAGATCCCTACTGGAAAAGACATTAGTGATATTATTTTTTGGTGTATGTCTTATTTCCTGACCCCTTTCTTTATTTGGCAGTGAAAACCTTGTAATACTTATTCAAAACCACTGAATAATAATGTGGAAAAACTGTTGTGGTTACTTGTTTTCCTAAAAACATCTGTATTCATGACCTTTTTGCTTCTAGCTAAGATTTTTTTTTCCTGATGTGCCCCATAATTCAGCATTATTTCTTTCTGCTGATTCTTTTTCTTTATTCAAAGGCAGTGTCAATTTTGGATTTGGTAATTTAAACAAAAATGTGGAGGATGTACAGGTCAAATAACAGGAGGGAACTTGAATACCCAAGTCATTATTATGGTGGTGGAAAGTGTGAAAGTCTGTAGGCTTGATATCATAACTGAGAGAACTGCCAGCAAAGCAGAGAGATTTACATTTGGGAATGACCTTGAGCAATTCCTTTTCTCCAGATTCCTGATGTCTGGAGAGGAAAGTGATGCCTTTGAAAGTGCATCCTTGCTGCTGCTTTTCCAGCATGGCCTGGGTCTCCCAGGAGCAGCTCACCTGGCATGAAGGCAGCAGCAGAATCTCTGTTTGCAGGGCTCATGTGGGACAGGAGGGAGGTTCCAGCTGGAAGAGAGGGAGCAGTGACCAACAGAGTGCAGGCACCATGGAATTTCTCACTTTTACCCTTTGTTCCAGCCTTGGTGTGATAAGGTGCAATCCACGCCTGGATAGAAGGTTACTGCTATCAAGAATCAAAAATAGATGGCTTCTTAAAGCAACAAATTTATCATGTGAAGTTACTAATTACACTTTAATGACAGTCAGGAGGGCAAAAAAAGACCAGTGTTTGCATAAAGCATGATAGGCATATTGTAAGTCAGGTCTTGCTCTGCTGTGTCTTCCTTCCTCTTGCTCCGTTCTTTTTGCACACTCCCTTTTCACTCTTTATTTTTTTTTCTCCCTTTTTTTTTTTTTTTAAATTTTTTTTTTTTTTTATTTTATCTGTGACATCTGCTTGGAGCTTGTCCCTCCTGTGATAGCACACTACTTGCAGCTGTTCAGACCTCCAGCTCCGAGCTGTGCATGGGGTGCCCTGAGCATACGGCCTTTTTGATGTGTGATAAAACAGAACCGAGCCACTGGGGGTATGGAGAGGGAATGCAGCAGAATATCAATAAACCTGTTCTGAACAAAGCTGCAGCTCTGTGCTGGAATAGACATTTCACTGAAGTGTCAAGTAGATGGATAATATATTCTAATTAGGGACTGACTGATACCCTGCAACTCAGAGACCTTTGGAAATCAGCTCCAAAATGCTCACTGTTTTTTGTACTGTGTGTTGGTTTTGCGTTTGTTTAATACCTTAAAATATATTTTCTGCAGGGAGCTATTTATTGAGCTTTGTTTTCCTAAACAGCCCAAACTTTTCGCTGTAAAATTGCTTATGGCCTGTTTTAAGGACCTTTGAAATTTGTGTGTAAAACTCTTGAAGTTTGCTGTGGGTTGTTAAAAGTAGGGATTGGTTATTGTTACAGTATTGTTTTTACTGCCTGTTGCACATTATGTGATTTGAGCCATAAGCAGCAGTGACTTCAGGTTTTGTGGGGCAATTTTTGGAGCTTTTTTAATTTGTTTTGTTATAGTTTCCAAAAATGTTGCACTCAGAGTGGAGAAAACAAGCCGGATTTATAGTCTTTGTAAATCGGCGTTGATTTATTTGCCATCAGACCTCAGATGCCATTTCTCCCTAGAAGATCTGGCCCTATATATATATATGTATTTTGTACACAGTGTATTCCAAACTAGTGCTGAAGTTCCTGGCATAGCACTACGAACATTGTTCAGCTTTGCCTTCTGCAAGTCCCAAGGGATAAATTGATTTCTCAGCACCTGTGTGACCCTAGCCAGTGGTTCATTCTAATTTGGCAGAGCAAACACTGGGAGTGGCAAAAATGGCTTGCAGTTATTTGAGTCTTGTATTTTCTACATCTGTCAGCAGGATGACATGTTCCTGAAACCAGGCTAATTAAGGAATTTTAAATAGTCTGCTCTATTTTCTTGTGTAATTGGAATGGCCCATTCCCTCCCACAGAAGTCCTGGAGATAGATTTCCCTGAAATACTTGGAGAACCTTTGGACCCCTCCCTGACAGAGCACCAGATTTATATGGGAGCTGAGAATGATTGCCAGCTAATGCAATATTAAAATATCTCCTTTATTTCAGCACGAAGATGGCTCCCAGATTTCCTGTGGTATCACAAAGTTATTTGGAGGGGTGGGATAGAACAGCAAGGACTTGTGTGCTCAGGCAACTGACAGATAAATTAGGGAGAGCTCAGAAGATTCAGATGTGAGCCTGGGAAGTGGATTAGATTTCAAATACTGCATCAGACAAAAACTGAGCGAGGCTGCAGCTCTCCGTCGGTATTTCACAGATCTGTAAATGTTTTTTTAAAGATGCTCAATCCAACACTTAGCTGGCTATAACAAGGACTTAAGGGAGCAAAAGGCTCTTTTTTCTTTTTTCTTTCTTTTGCTCTGTTGCTTCATTAGCTCTGGGAACGCTGGTTCCATTACTGTGAGTTTTCCTGTATAATTTAAGAAAATAATGAAAGCATGCATATTTTCCTCAGTATTCTTGGCATTAAATCTGTCTTTAGATTTGTTTAGCTCCTTTTTTTTTAATATATATATACACAGTGTGGGCTAGTATCCTTTTGAATATTTCAAAACTGTAGAAATTGTTTTGGGTTGTTTTTATTTGAGATAGAAGTTGGTTTGTTTTTATTTTTAAGATTGAAACATGAAAAAAAAAATTGCTACAATACATAAGTTCCCATTGCTGTGTGGCAGTGGAATCAGTGCATGAATTTCACAAAAATATCAGTGCTCCATGTTTGCTTTCTTCTCTCACAAGCATCCATGAGAAATACTGTGCTGTGGAAGGATCAGAATGAGATAATTTTTGTGTAAACAGCACTGAGATTTAGTATGAATTTTGGCTTTTTTCTCTTCCAGGATCAATAACTGTTTCATGTTTTTGTTCAATAGGGATGGATTTTGGAAGGCTTTCCTGAAAATCAGGAACAGGCATGGATGCTGCAATCATCTGGCATTTTTCCTAGGCATGTTGGTAAGCAGTACAAGTTTGTGTGTGATTGCATCCAGGAGGAAAGACTAGAAGGGTTTGTCTCAAAAAATCCTCAATAAATTCAATATCAATGCTGGAGACAGTCACCAGACAGCAGAATATTTCAGTAGGGTTGAAAGTCTGAGGTAACCTGGGAGATTTTTAAGCCCTGTGTTTCACAGCCTTTTCTCCTTCCACGTCAGAGCTCTGTAAATTCCAGACCCTACACCAAGTGGGTTTGAGCAGCTACAAGTGGCTTTGCTCCTGACTTCCATCTCTAAAAATCAGATTTATCCTCAGACTAAACCAGTTCCTCATGTGCTAAACACAAATTTATGCTTCTGTTGAATTAGAGAATGTAAATTTTACCAAGTGGAAACATGATGATTTTAAGCTTGACCTTTCAGAGTGGGGCTGGATTCTGGCTGGTTTTGGGTGGAATGTTTCACACACCTTGACAGCTGCCCTTGCCATACAGGAGAAGCTACTTGTCCCAAATTGTAGTTAAAGGACCTATTTGGAATATAAAAAATTGTGTGGAATGCAGTGTGAAATGATAAATGCAGAGCTTGCCAGTGCACAGTGAACAGAATTTATCCAACTTGATGAATTGTCACTTTGGATTTGATTTGGATGATATTCAACTGTTAATGAAGAACTCAGAATCACTGCAGTAGAGTTAGGCAAAAATGTTTAATGTCTAGTACTTGCATGTATTTTTAATATACCTAATAACATCTGAAGTTGAGTTTTGCTCACAATTATATCTGTGCCACCAAGACCTGAATGAGAATCTTACAGCTCAGTCTGTCTAGTTAATCAAAAAGAAGATTGAGAGGAGATGAGATTTACTGTCTGTGAGTACCTTAATAGGGAGAAAAGTGCCTGAAAAAGCCATTTAATACAAAGAAGAAAGTCATAAAAAGAACTTGTTTGAAACCTGTAATCAAATTCACTGAAAATAGTAATTAAATTACAGTGTTTAACTGCAAGGATGATTAGCCGAAAGCAACCCAGGGAACTGACAGGTTCTTCCTCTTTTGAAGCTTTCTAATCAAGTTTGAACACTTTTCTGTGAGGTTATATATTAAAAAAAATCAGTTTCACGGGTCTCACTACCAAAGAACCTGGGTGAAAAGTAATATTTGTGGTGTAGAAGAGAATCAGTCTTGAGTGCTCAGTGGGAACTTCTGTCTGAGGCTCCAGAGACAATTTTTTATTGCTGCTGGTGATGTTTTTTGGATAATGGGGACAGTTAGTGCCCATGGGTACTGGATTCATGGATATTTTATCCCACTGTATTGGTTAGTAGGTGAAGCAAAATTCTGATGAAAAGTGAAGTAAAATATTTGCAGGGAGAATGCTGGGAAATTAAATGAGCTCAAGATAAATTCAGCCACCTTTAATATTAGGATACATCTGAACAGTTACAGGGAATAAAGCAAATAATTAACAAGAGCTACATTTTTAATTTTTTCTCCTTTTTCCCTTTTTGTTGCCTAGTTATGCTCTATGCCCCAGACACTGTGCTGATTGAGAGGAGTGGTGGGAAAAGGCTTGATCCCCTCACACAAGGTGCAGTATTGTTTGTTCCTGACCCCCACTGCAGACTGCAGTGTTGCTTGGTCCCAGAACCATTGTAGTACTGCTAATGGGGTTAAAATTTAAATGGGGTCCCTTTAAGAACTAGTAGGAATTTGTAATTATAAATTTCAGCTGTTTGGAAATGGTATTTGTTCATATTGTGTTATTTTCACAATAAAATACAATGAAATAAAAAGCTCACTATTGAGCCTGCAAACAGTGGACTGTGGCAGTACAGAATATTTAAAGGTTAGATCTGTCCATGTGAGTTTATAATTTTCCTGTGCATCTCTGCTAGGTCCTGCTTTGTTTCTGAGTTGCAAGGATGCTTTTAGGGTTAATAAAATAATTTCTATTAGATTAAATAAAAGCATTTCTATTAAATAAAATAAACTGTCAAATCGACTCTGTATTGTCTGTTGAGTTTTATCATCAATCATCCATCACAAGATAAAATCCTGACATCACAAGATAAAATCCTGATAAAAGATGTTTTGAGGAGTGAAATTAAGAGGGACATTTTTAATTAGAGGCCTGTTAATTCATGCTCTTAGCTCCTAACCATGTTCCCTGTAGAGGTTTTCCACACAACCTTTGACTGGCCAAGTGACCCCCAGGTGCAGCAGAGGTTGGTGAAACCAGAAGATCTCTCAGAGCAGGAGGTGTCCAAGAAGCTGCTGGAATATCACAGAAACTTCCCCGAGATTTTCCACATCTACCAGAAAGTTCTGAAATCCATCAATGCAGACCAGCCCTCCGTGGATGTTCTCTCTCAGGGTAAATGTGAGCTTTGTGGCAAGTAGAGAAAGTCCTGTTTGAGGGCTGGTTCCTGGCTGTTAGAGTCACTTTGTAGGATTAGGCAGCACAGATGGCTCCCAGCTGAGTTGTGCTCTCTCTAGAGCAGCATTTGGGCTGCTCCTGGTAATTATTTTACTGGAGTAAGTGCAGATAACTGGAAATTCTCAGCTCACAGTTCTGCCAAGGAAGAGCTGACTCAGTAATGTCACCATCATTTCTGTGAGTGTCTCTTCTAAAAGGGAGCCCTGTGGCTCAATTGTTCATCTCCCAAAGGGCCAGTACCTTCCAAAGTCTGAGAGCAACAAGGAGTAGTTCAAAGCTGGGAACATTTCATTGTTTAAAAGCTGTTTGTGCTGGGAGCTTTCCTGTTCATCAGTTCTTGTTTGCCTTTGCTTGACTGTAATGCAATCTGACTTTTAATGTTGATCCTTCTAGAAGAGAATAAGGAAACTGCCAGAAAGACCAATTGATGTACTTTGTAGCTGTCAGTCTGCAGATGATCTCTGATATCCCAGTAATTTTGCATCTCAAAAAGGTCTTTTTTTTTAATAACAAGTGCTGCACTTTTAAGATAAACAAGTAGGAAGTTTATATTCTGAATTTCCACATTAATTACCTCTAAATTACTTAATTAAATTTAAAAGTTCATATCATCATTCATAAAGAATTCATGCCTTGAATTGTAAATAAAAATGTGAGTGCCTGAATATTAATTATTATTAATTAATAATGTAGTGAGATAAATTGAAAACTGGAATGAAAAAATCCTCTCTAGATCTTTTTTTTTCTGCAGTGCATCAAGCAGCCAGATTTTTTTAAAAGAATAATTAGATGTGGAGACTGTCTAGGGGATCATTACTCCTAATTAACTTGGTTATTTACTGCAAATTAAGCATCATTTGTAAGCAGGGTGCTTTGCCTGTAATGTTTGTGCTTTTCAATACACTGGGTTGTGGAAAATGTTCAGAATAACTGGAGCACTGCTTGGGTAGCTGATACTCAGGGTTTAGGAAGCCATGCAGCAAATACTATTTTCTAGTAGGATTTTCCAGGGTTTTTTGCTTAGATTTTTATTGCCCCAGCTAACACAATAAAAAAAAAATAAAAAATAGAGATGTCTCCTAAAATTGAGCAGTATTGTGGGTTGTTCCACACAATTATAAAATGCTGTGACCTGAATGCAGTTGCTGCTGCCCTGATGTGGGAATGACACCTGCTGCAGCTGGGCAGTGCAGGATCCCAGCTCTGCAGGAGGACATGGATACAATCCCACGTGGCTGCAGCTTTAGTTTCTCCATACTTTAGGGCTGCTATGTAGAAATTGGAGTTTGCTGGAGGTGTTTCTTTATTAGAAAATATTTTTTAATCATATCAAAGTGTCTAAGGGAGGGTTTCCTGAAAAATTGTTGGTACAGAGCAATGTGATGACAGTGGCTCCTGAAATCCTGATCCTCAGGGTGTTCCCCACCAGTCCTTTTGTGCTTTTTAATATAGCTTATGACTCATACAAACAGTCATGTTTAAGCTTGTCCTATTCCTTAGCCTAAAATTCTTTTTTTATTAAAGGACTCTTTAGAGAGTCTTTTATTGGAACAGATCTCACAAAAACAGAGGCTGCAGCTCATCTGGGCTCACCTTTAGTTGTATCCACTGCAATCCCAGGGGAACCAGAGCCTGTGCAGGTGTGTCCTTGCTGCTTTGGGCATGGCCAACCATGGCAGGTGGGATCAGTGCCAGAAAGTTTAGCTTTGGCATTTGGGTGGTCCCTGGAAAACCTGTATGGCTTGAGCTGCTCCCTTCTCTGGCATTCTCAGCCATCAAATGGGCACAGCTATGTCCAAACACAATCCCAATTTGTCCTCACTGCCAGTGCTGTGACATCTTTTGGCTTCTTGGTGACCTCTCAGGTTCTCTTTTGGGATTGTAACCAAGTCCAGGTCTCTTTGATGTGACAATGCTGGTGATGCTTCACATGTCCCATGGTCTTTCCAAACCTGCAGGATGACCTGAAGGTGCTATTTCCTGCTTGAAGCAAAATTTAGGAGGATGGTGTCCAACAAATTAGTGGAATCAGGCAGAGAAGCTCAAATATTCTTTACAAGTTACACAAAAAGGATGAGTAAAAGAATAAAACATCCACACTCAGTTCTGTGTTGTCAAGGCTGAGCAGTGTCATGACACACTGTGCTACAAGTCTATAATATTGTAATTAGGAGTCTTAATCACACACAGCTGGATAAATGTCATTAATTTAACATCCCAAGTTTTTACACTTAAATATTTGTTCAGAAACTGCAGAAAGTATTAAATGTAATTACAGCCCTCTATAATTTGTATGGTAAAATTGTAGCTATCAAGCAAAAATTACTTCTGCTAAAAACAACATGGTAAGAGAGCAATTATTAATTGAATCTGCTCTTTAAAATGGTTTGACAGGCACTGATGAAAGACAGAGGAGTGTAATGATAGTGAGATTTCTAAAATGCCTCAGAGTAAATTGCTGACAGGACAGTTTTATATCAGCGTCCTGATTTTGGCTGCAGAGTCTGGATGTTACAGTGATAAAATAAATCATGATCAACATTTTTTTTTTAAAGAAGAGAGTTGTTAATTATTATATTTATTTTTTTTAAAGAAATGGGTTAATTTTTTGCCTTTCTCCCCTGTTGCAGTTCTTGCCTTTGTCCAAACCCGCCACCGATCTGCTGCTCCCTTCACTCCCCGGATTCTCTTTTTTGGCCCCCCAGGCAGTGGGAAGAGCCTGCAGGCAGCACTAATAGCTCAGAAATATGATCTTGTCAACAGTAAGTTCTCAGTAAACATGCATTTTGCTCAATTCCCCCTTTGTCTCTTTTTGATCATTTATCTTTTGCTGTCTGTCTTTCTTACCTGCTTATAAAATGTCTCTCTTTGTCCGTTGCTGTGGATGTCAATTCTTTGAGGGAAGTGAGAAGTATTTGAATGAAGAAGTGTAAACCAAGTATATATGCTGTGACAAACCAGCTCTAAGGTATTTTTAGTCATCATTTCATCATTTTTTATACCTTTTACATCTGTATTTTTCTATTGTTAGACTCCTGCAGTGCTCTGAATTCTTCTGTGGATCAGTGGATCATGAGTAATGATTTCAGTTTCAGCTCTCTGACCAAAATTGGGGCACTTTTAAAATAGAATTCACTCTGAACTGTAGTGAGGTCTCAGACTCTGCACAGCTCTAGTAATGTGTGAGAAAATGAAGGAAGTAGTTAAAAGTGCATCATCTTTCTCCTGTAAAGGAAGTAAAAAAATTTCTGCATGACACTTGTTCATGATTAGCATTTAAATGTTAAGAAGTTCTGTATATAAAAGTGCAGCTTGGTGATAGCATCAGTGCAGTATTTTCCATGCTCATAATGTCTTCTAACAGTGGAGTGGCCATAAATTATTTTAAACAAATATCTGGTAGCTGTAAAATTTGCTGATTAGTCACGTCATGTTAGTTAAGCAAAAGGCAGTTCTGATGGAATATTTCTGCTGTCAGTTATTGTGCCATTGCTGTATTTTAAAATATCAGGTGAAAAACTAAATATTTGTTGATTTTTTCAAAGCTGTTGAAAATTCTTATTAATTGTGTATTTGGTTTAAAAAAAACAAATCATGCTTGACTGTAATAAAAATTATTGTCCTTTTGAATTTTTTTCAATTTTTTTTCTAAAACTGCATGTTTCATAGTGTTCCATCTAGGTCAAAATTTGCATTTTTTTTTCTTCTAAAGTAACTACACTATGAGAGAGTTGCAGCTCTTTTTACTGAAAATCATTACCAGTGCTTTACCCATATGTTGAATTTTATTTTAAGTATTCTATAACCCAAATATTAGAAAAATTAAGTGTTTAATACAGAGCTGGAAGACCATCACTTTTCAGAATAATATTCAGCATACACTTAATTTCTGTTAGGCCATTGGGCATTAGGCTCAGGCTCAAAAATTTAAATCTATATTTAAATAGTCTCCTGAATTTGGTTGAATTGAGTGTGTACTCATTAGGTGTCTTAAACTGGGGTCTGTGCATTGAGTTTCTCTTGTGTTTTTTACACTATTTATTATGAATATGAATTTGCATCTCCAGGACAACTGGTGACTGTTCAAATTGTCTCTTAAACATTGAATTTTATCAGCTTTGCCCCAGGAGCACTGCTGGGGGGGTTCTCACTCCTGTTGGCCTGGCAGTGTGATTAACAGCAATAAACTGATTAAAGGGCTCCATCTTCTCCCATCAAAGGCAGTGCCTGTCAGTGCTATTGATTCCAGCAAGAAAGGAATCAATTTAGGATTATTAATTGAATAATCTCCAGGGGGAATTATAGCTAATATGTTTACCAAATTAGAGTTGTAGCCAGGATTTCTGCTGTTGTGTGACCTCGCCATGTCTTGGCTCCCTCCCTCACCTGGGCAGCCACTGCTCTCCAAGCCCAAACCAGGAATATTTCATGTGCAGCTGTCCTGGCTCAGACCTGAAATCTGCATCTCCCGGTGTTCTGTGTGTGTTTGAAATCAATGATAATATTGCATTAGCACAGTTTTTTAATGTAACCCTTACATGATCATTAAATGATCCAGGGAGGCCCTTCCTGAGCTGAGCATTATGCTGCACCTCCAGCAGCGTGGTTCAGATGCTGTTCAGCTGCTGGAACTTTATTCAGTAATTACAAGTTTATAAAAAGTGAAAGCCACTAGCAATCCCTTGAGTTGTTATTTCAGAAATATATTTGATTAATATCATTCTCTCCATTTTTAATGTGTTCTTTGCCAAATATATTCTTTTTTTTTTATTCTTTTCATTCCATATCCTCACTCTCCTTGCTTTTCACTCTGCTTGGCCAAAAAAAAAAAAACCCAACCAAACCTTAACAACAAACTCAAAAAACATACAACTTTTATTTTATTCAGTGACCTTATTCCAGTATGCAGCTTCTGGGTTCTTTTCTTTTCTTTTCTTTGTTGCCTCCTTTTTAAAATTTAACCTTGTGTCTTTTTTGTTCTTCCTTCCTGTTAGTTTGCTGTGGGCAACTGCTAAAGGAAGCTGTTGCAGACAACACAAAACTTGGAGAACTCGTTAAGCCTTACATTGACAGTGGATGCCCAGGTAGGGCACATTGTTGTCTAATTACACTGTAGTAACAAATATGTAGCAAAAACAAAATTGTGAGTGAATTTTTGTTGGTCAGATTCTAATCAGAGTAGCCTGAAAGTCAATTAATTCCATTTATTCCGTAGGATTTGTAACACTGTGTAACAGAACTTGGATTTCTAAGGGTTTTTTTAATATCTTCAAAGCAGATATTCACTGTTCCAGCAAAGTTCAGATTTCTTGTGCACATTCTGAAATCTGAATTCCATATTTTAATCTCTAACTAAATCTAAATTAAAAATCTGGTATCAGCTCAAACTGTTTTTAAAGCACACTATTGTGTCAAACTGTTTTCAAAGCACAATAATATTGTGTTTCATTTTATATTTGGATGTTGACTTTTAGAATGCTGCCATAGTTTCCTCTACTTTCATGTAAATATTTTAAACTTAAAGTTTCTTTGTACTTCATTTCTATCAGCATTTTTAGTTGTGGGAGGGGACTGCCACAACAAATATTGAGTATACTTTGCTTTTGGAAGGTTCTGCAGGGATTTCAGATAAATCAAAAATACTTTGGGCTCCTGACACAGCAGCTAAACCTGTCTGTCTGTTGCAGTTGCCCTGCTGTCTGTGTGTGCTGGGTGTTAGAAATCAGAGAATATCTGTAATTAAAGAGGAGAAATCATGTTGCAGGAGGGTTGGAAGAATGTTTATTTTGCCCAATTGCAATGGCCTGGAAGAGGAACTTTTGGGAACAGCCCAAATGGTTTCCAGTGGTACAAACACCAGGAGACAATCGTGCTGAAGATGGGGAAATCTCAGTTAAACTTCAGTATTAATGGAATTTTGAGCAAAGCCCCTCAGAGCAAAGAGAAATCATTGTTGTCCTTTATTTTTAGCAAAAAAAAAAATGTATTTGGTAAGGTGAAAAGCTTGAAAACCTCTTCTGTTTTTTGCACAAAAGCTTAATTCTGAGGCTGAATTAGACAGCTCTGAAACATGAGCCTTTCAAATTAACTGAGGTTAAATCAAGGTTCCCTTGATAGCAAACCCAGAGATTCAGGACTTTTCCAAAAGATCTTTGGCAACCTGCAGCTTTGGGGGTGCCATCCCTTTATCAAGCCACAGGGTAATGGATTTTGGCTCTGAACTCCAGTGCATGGATTGCATTTATCCCGAATTCAGTCACCAGCCCAGTGCATTCAGGGCAGGCACCACACTGCTGGGAGCTGCTCTGGGAGCCATGGGAATGCACAGCAGGAATCTCTGCAGCCTGACAGGGGAAATTTGGGTCCTCTGGAATGGGCACAGAGATCTAGGAGAGGATTTTCTGAGTTTAACTCAAAGGCGGGGGAGCTCAGAGTATGGTGTGCAGGGGATCTGGGGTCTCCAGGTGTGGCAATAATTCCTTCCTGTGTGATCTGGTTTGACCTGGATGTGGCAGGTTTTGAGTGCAGTTTAACTCCCACATGGAGATCCTTTTAAACTCCAGCCTGATTTTCATGGTATCCATTAATTTCAGAATCTTATGTGCATGCTGTAATTCCACTGTCTGCTCTTCTCTGTGGAGAGGAGGACTGTAAATACCTCACTCTCTAAATTTCAGTTATGGCTGAGATGGGAGTTTGGATGATCTGTTTATTCCAAGATAGCTCCTTTAAGAGCTTCCTTTACTAAAATGTTCTTTGTGTGTTTTATAAACTCCATCTTAACCATTAAAGTTCCTTAAAGGAGATGCATTCCCAGTAGAGTAAAATAATTGCACAGATCATAATTTTTAGCCAGTCCTAAAAATATGCACATCCTTAGTCCAAGGGAGCTGCTTTCATTTCAGGAAAATGAAATTGAAGTTGTAATTCCTTTCTTTCTCCAAATTAGAAATTATTTCAGATTTAGATTAATTTTTTTTTAATACAGCATGCACAGATAAAGCTGTAGAACACTTCTGAATATTAATAGGGATCATAACTATATTTCTGTGCATTATGCTAAAAATTCTGCCTTAGATTTGCTGATATGCACATATATATTTTATTTGGTGGGACACAGCACAAAATTAAGGGCTGAATAAAGATAAATATCATCCAGCAAAACCAGAAATAATAAGTTCTGTCATTTTGCTAATCCTCCTCTCCCAGGGATAACAAAGAATGAATTTACATTAGTAAACACTAACAAGAATTCATTACTGCCCTCACAAGAGGCTTGGAGAAAATGGAATAACACAGGGTACTGAAGAGGAAAGGTGGGCAAAGAACCTTTGCATCTTTGCTCTCTTGCTGCAGCCCAGGTTAAAACAGGGGAAAGATTCTCCTGCTATGATTGACTGCAGTCAGTTCCCAGAAAATCTCACTTGCAAAAACTCAGCGCAGCCAATAGCAGACAGTTTTGGAAGTGGAAAAGCAATTAGAACTTCAAACTTTTCATTGCATTTCTGGTTGTCGAGAAGCTTAGCTGTGCCTGTGGGTGGGGAATCCTGCAAGTGACATTCCACAGAGCAGGGGAACCAAAGGCAGACCAGGAAAAATGTTGTTCTCATATCATTACTTGTCAAAACGAAAGCAGTGCCATAAAATCTTGAGGACATGCCTCATATATTCTTAAAATGCTTCCCCAGGGGACTGATCTCAGCGTGTTTCCCTTCTTGTGGACACCACTGATTGCATACAATTAGTCATTTAAGATGTGCCAACAGGGCGTGTTGTGGTGCAGTAACGAGGCTCAAAGCCCTGCCTGTTCAGAGCTGACTCATTATTGGGTTTTTGAGGCTGTCCACTGCCTGTTCTGCTCCAGCTCTGCTTGGCTAACCCACATCTCTTCATGGCTTTAGGATCCATCCACTTTCTTTGTGCTGTTTTTCCTGTATTCCTGCTTTGTGTATACACCATGTATTCCAGGAACAGCCCAGACAATTCTGTTATTCACCCCAAAAGGCAACCCAGTATTCCCATTGTCTATATTTTCTAATGTTTGGTGTCTCATAAAGACCTGCTTTTTGTCAAAATCCTCAGTTTTGTGTATGGTGATTTATTTTACCTAATGAAGGCAGCATAGATATTTTTGAGCCCATTAATTTTTTAATTCCCAGGACATTCTAGTCTACACTAGGTGCACACTCGATATTGAAAAATGCATTTTTTGTGATAAGTTCAGTAACCTGACAGCTTTCTGCCTGTCATAAACACTGAGTTGTTCTTTGGACAACCAGTCTGAAATGCAGAGATTGTTCCTTTAGGAAGTTGTGGTCTCGTTGAGTACTGGGTAGTTATTATTAACTATACTTGGGCAGAAAATCACCAACATTGGAGGCTAAAACCAATCTTCTGGTCTCTAACTCCAGTTAGATTAACTCTTGGTCAATAATGCTAAATTCAGCACACACCATTGGCTTGGGCAGCCTGGGAAGAAATGGAGTAAGAGGTGAGTGCAGTGGCCAGGACCCTCCCACAGGCAGCAAGACAAGTGCCATCAATTAATTTATGTTGTTTGATTCTTTCTGAAATGTTCTGAGGAGGCAGTTCCATAGATTTGGGCCCTTCCCTGGACAGATGAGACCCCACAGGCCTGAAGGAGATCTTTAAACAGAATTCCTGTCCTCGGATTGCTCCGATTCTGAGGAGGGCTGGACATGTCTCACTGAAAACATGGACAAACATTCATTAAAAGTTCCATCTACATGATCTTTGTTCACCATCTTAAAGATGTCTGTCAGAATTTGATACTGTGGGAGAACAAAAAAAATGCAGAAAGCATTTTTTATTTCCCCACCTAAACGTCCCTGATGTTTGCATTGTATAAATGAAAGGACAAGCTGGACAAACATTCATTAAAAGTTCCATCTACATGATCTTTGTTCAGAATTTGTCAGAATTTGATACCCTGGGAGAACAAAAAAAAAATGCAGAAAGCATTTTTGATTTCCCCACCTAAACATCCCTGATGTTTGCATTGTATTAATGAAAGGACAAGCACAGAAGCATTTTGGGGGTACCACAAAGATAGGGAGGGTCATCAGTCAGTTGGAATCTGCATGTCAGTCTGTCCAGTTCTCTGGTGAAATAGCATGGAGTGATCACTGCTAATTAATATATCTGTTTGTGAGGCTGTAATAAATAGAGCCAAGAAAAGTGAGAGGACAGGAAAGCAGCATGAAGGAAAAAACCACTCCCAATCCAGTAAGATTCTGCTTTTCAGCTGGGAGAACTGCTATTAGTTTGGGTGATTGGGTTTTTTCCCACCAAAATGAAGATTCAGGAGGTAAGAGAAGTGATTCATGGAATAAACACAACATTGCACTGTTTGCAGCCTGTTAGAGTTGAACACACACAATCTGTGTTGGTTTTTTCCTCTCCCTTTTTCTTTTTTTTTTAAGTTGTAATATCTGAAGCTGTCCCCAACGGCAGCCTGCACGTAGGGGGTAAAATCTGGAATTCCCTAATTTCTCCTGTTTTCTAATAAAAACTATTACTTGTACAAATACAGATCTCCCCTTATTTTAAATTGCAGTGGTTTTAAAGGGGTGCTTTTTGCTGCAGCCTCTGAAAGTTGGGGTCCCCTGGTGATTGTGATCACAGTCTCACTGCAAACACTTTGCCGCGTTCAGGGTGGGTTTGTTTTTTTTACTTCATTTTTTATTTTTTGACATCAAATTAATATTCTCATCACTGAGCCTGAAACACAGATTTGACAATAAGAGCAGCTCCTCTTTGTTAAAAACTCGCCGCGAGTTTGCGAGTTGAAAGGACGAGTAAATCTCGATATCTGAGGGGGTAAGCTCAGCGTTATTTCTTGTTTTTAAGAGTGCTGTACTGGCGAGCTGCAAGCTGTCTGAACATTGCAGAGACCCTTTGGGAGCTCCATTGGTTTTCAGCAAGCCTTTGCATGCAGTGTGTTTGTACTGGCTGAAGACAGCGCATGGCTCTCTAAATAATTTACAAGTTGATTAATAGACTCACATGGGTATAATTAGAAGAGGGAGAGACAGCAGCTACAGTAACGGGTACAGTGCTTGGG